TATACATAATATATTTTATTAATTTTTGTATATAAAAATCATTCTCGTGTAAGACACATAGTACATTGTTAGTTTTTACAAAAATGAGGATTTTAGTTTTCTTGTTGGATCATTAAATAGATTGAATCGATATTTGTATACAATCATAGTATTCGTGCACTCAAATTCGATTAGCGATATAGACTAGGTCGGGTGACTAGGGTCTATTGGGCGGTGTCTGGCTCCTCTCCATTTCCCTCAAAACAGCACACGGTATTGGTTGCACCAAAACGATGTCCCATAACTAATCCACTACAACAAACCAAACTGAGTGCAAAAATGGTGACCGTGTTCTTATAGCATTTCCAACCCTTACCTTTTTTTTTTAATTTCAAATTAAAATTTAAATAAAAAAATCTTTAAAACTTTATCTAATACTAGACTCATATTCATATTAAATAAAGGGAGACTCATTGTTTTACTTTAATCAAGGAAAACTCAAATCTATACCCAAATTTTAATTGTGAGATTTTATCATCTTTTAAAGATTCAATATTTATATTTTACTCTTTTTTAAATTTGAGTTTGTTTTCATTTAAATTTGATTTCTTTTCTTTTGAATTTGAGTTTTTTCATTGAAGACTATTGAAAATTGGATGCATATAAAGTGAACGACAAGGTGAGACGCGGACTAGGTCGCTCTCTTAAGACGATTCGCGCCCTTTTATGAAAGAATCACAGCACAAAAAGTAGTAACGCGTCGTTCCCAAGATATAACAGCCCAGCCTTTTGACTGTTGCTTCACTTAGATCTGCACAATCGAATGAAGCAGAAGCTTCACACACACTTTTGAATATTGCCCAAATATTTCTATTGTAAGAAGAAAGTTGATATTCCTCCGCTAGTCCCACCCCTTGCGCATGTGAGAGTCTCAAGACTTCTCTTTGATTCAAAGGTTAGATAACATTAGTATATATATATACTCAAGTATCTTTAGATGTTTAGTCGATATGAGATTGAGTTTTCACATAAAAAAAACACTTTTTTTGTTAAAATATTCTAACAGGTCTATACAAAATTAAGTTTTTTTTATCATTTTTTTACTTAATAAGAATTTGGGTTTACATTAGAGTTGGTCTTACAGATTAAATAAAAATAGAGAACATTTAATTTTTTTATTTTATCATTTTATTACTTCATTTTTTTTTCACTCATTACAAATTACCAATATCCAAATTCATATTGGATAAATTTAATATTTGCTATTGTGATAATGTATTTTAGAATAGGTCCTAAATTAATATTTTTATAGTTAAATTTATATTGGTCTAGCAAAAATTTTTTAGATTGATGCAGTATTCATTTTGGCCAAGCATTCTTTTTAAGCGGGTCAAATAATAATTGTTAATTATAGTCACTTTGAGGATGTGATCTCATTTGGCACAACATCTCTAACAAAAAATAAGAATTACCGACCTTTTGTATGATAGTAACAATTGTGAAACTATTAAATTTGGATTTAGAGGTTTGAGTGACATGATTAAGTTTGTTGTTTGGGCTTGAATAAGTCTGCAAGGAAGCGACATCGTTTTTTCACTCGATTTGGTTTACAGTTACAGTTAAGATATCATTAATGCTTCGTTTGGTAGACGGAAAAATGGAATGATGAAAAATTATAAGGATGAAAAGTTGAAAGAATAGATAAATATCATGTTTGGTAAAGAAGGAAAGTAGAAAGGATGAAAAAGTGGATGTATTAATTTTTCTTCCAACTCAACAAAATCAATTCCTCCAAAATCGGAAGGAAAGTGAATGTAAAATTAATTATTTGTGTTGAGATATATATCTTATATATATTATGTATATATATTATGTATACATTAATTTTATATATATATATATATATATATATATATATATTAAAAAATAAATAAATAAATAATAATAAAAAATTTAAATTAAAAAAATATTTTTTCATCTTGGGTAAAAATTTTTGACTCAACACGATGACACAACTCGAATTCGACACAAATTTTATGACACGAACTTAATTATAACTCGACACGAACTTGAAAATGACCTTATACAGAAACAATAAATATAAAATACTCATAATTTTATAACTCAACACGAATCTGACACGACACGATTCGATTGTTGACCCTAATTTTAACCATCACAAAAAAAAAATAGTCATTTTTATTTTTCATCTATGTAATCAAATACAAAGGAAAAAAAATATATCATTCTTATTTTTTTTTATTCCTACTTTCAATTATTCCTACCACAAAATACAAATAAAAAAAATATACCTCTCATATTTTTCATCATTTATATCGAACAAAGCAAAAAGGCATCATTTTGGTGCGAACTGCAAGCTGTGCCGTTTTGGGGGAATGTAGAGGAACCAGACCCGGGTGGACATTAACACGTGAACTCATAAGTCAGAGTCTCCTCGTAGTACGTGCGAAAAATGGTATTTTACACGCAACACATCATCAGAAAGAAAGATCTGGGCCGTGTATTTTACGTTGAATCCCAGGGCCACGATTTCGTTTAAAACTGAAGTACACATCGGATGTTTCAACCGGTCACAAAAAATCTAATCACCTTAAATGGGATTCCTTTTTTGTCAGACAAAAGGTTATTAAAAGTCACAATTACATCCACACCTCTAAGGTTTGTTATTTCACCAGACATATTCCCTCATGTTTGATATATTATATTAAAACCCTTGAAAGTATGTACACATACATTCTTGTTGTTAGAAATGTCGTTAAAAATTAATAACATCAACATATTTTTAATCTAAAATCCTTTTACACATAATAGTTTTTAAATTCTCATTTAATCCCTCAGTACAATTTACAAACCACCACCATCATACTGAAACCTAACATGCTCCCATTGGCCACCCCGAACCCACTCAATTCCCAACTCATCAATTAAAAAAAAATTCATTCCCTTCACAACGTAGCAAAACCACTAACCCTTGCGTCGAGAAGGCCAACCATCTCTCTCTTCTACGCAAACACACGCATCACACATCCAAACTAGGGTACACTAGTCTCCACCACCACTCACTCGTGGTCCAATGCATTCATGTCGCACATGTTCCACCATCCAAACAACAACACATGCCCTCCACCACGACTCACTCATGGCTTTGTTGGGTTTATGGTGTACTAGTCTTTGTGTGAGATGTTTGGGGTGGTGGAGTTGGGTCTTATTTCGAACACAAACAATTTTATAAAATTAATTATTAGGTCAATAAAAAGGGATGAGAGGGGTAAAGGACAGTTGATAGTGGTGATGCAGAAATTATCAACAATATTCCTCATTCGCTCCACAGTTCTTATATATATTAGAGACAGAGATGGGGGAGGGATGGTGAAAGATGGGAGAGTAGGGACCGAGGTGGTGGTTGTTTTTCCTTGCCTACACAATTCATACCTATTCATAGAGAGAGTGTGTGTAGGTAGGCCCTTAAAAACAACTAAATCAAACCAATAAAATAATCTCCATCAGAATCAAGAACACAAAATCAAAAGAATCTAAAGAACACAAAACAAGAACTTAAGAGACGCAAAGAAGCACTTTGACTTCACAAGAAAGTGTAACTATTCTTTGTGATATGTTGATTCCAAAACCTTTTGTGGTGATAGGGGTGGCCTAGGATTGCCTAGTGGAGGTGGCTCTGTAATTTTTGAAAGAGAAGACAACTGTATTTTTATGAAAAAGATGTTTGAGGAGTGGTTGGAGTTGTTTGGTAGTTGGGTTAAGTTATCCAAGTTTGTTTTGTTTAGGTTATTTGTGAGAAGAATTTAGTCATTTTGTCACTTTCGTTGGTTTCTACCGAAAGTTATTATTATTATGGAGTGTCAATGTAATATATCAACCGTGAAGGGTCTGTCTAATTAAATTGACAAATTAATAAGATCAAAGAACTTTATGGGTGAATTATGTTGAGACCTCCTAAAATTTGTCATTGAATCATTTAGTTCCCATGATATTTAAAATATTGTACAAAAATTCCCTAAATTTTGTACGCGAATAACATTTAGATCCTGTCGTCAATGTCCGTTAATGTCCATTAGTATATCTATTAGTAAATTATACTTAGACCCCTTAAAGTTTATAAACGTATAATATTTAGATCTTTCAAGTTTAAAATATTGTACTTGCACTAAAAATACTCTAATCAAATATAGAATATCAAATATTATAAAATTTACAACCAAATATTTTATTATATCATTTATTGAAATAAAATTAAAATTAAAAATTTTATTTTTTCTTAAAAAGTTATAATTAGTATACAATTATATTATCGATTAAAATAAAACTAAAAAATCAAATAAAGAGTCTAAGTCATTCATAATAGAACATGAATTTTACAACTAAAATTTATGTTATATTATGTTATTTATTAAAATAAAATCGAAAAAAATCTAATTTTATCTTAAAAATCATAATTGAAATGCAATTATGCTATCTGTATTAAAATAAAATTAAAAAATCAAATAAGAGGTTAAACTATAATAAACACAATATCTTCTACATTAATTGGGGTAATTTGATAGTTTAATTTAATCGTTTAAACAATCAAATTAAATTTCAATAGATAGTATAATTATATAATAATTATGATTTTTTAAGAGAAAATTAAATTTTTATTTTTGATTTTATTTCAATAAATGTCATAATAAAATATAAATTTTAATTGTAAAATTTGAAAATATTTAATATTCTATCTTTAATTACAGTACTTTTTATCTAAATATAATATTTTAAATATTAAAGGTCTAAATATTATATGCTTATAAATTTCTGAGTATAATTTATTGACGGATATAATAATTGACATTGATAGAAGGGATCTAAGTGTTACGTACATACAATTTTTGAGAATTGTGTATAATATTTTAAATAGTAGGGGTCCTAAATGACTACATGATAAACTTTAAGGGTGCTCAATATAATTCTCCCAATCTTTATTGATAACTTTGTAACCCTATTGCATCTCTCTTCTCCGCTCCTCTCCTCTGTTCTTCCCTCTCCAAAGGTCTTCCGTCTGTCTGTCTATTCTATCTCGCCAAGGTTGATATTTGATTTGGTGATTTCATTGTATATTTTCTGAGATTTCATTTGGGGCATCGTTAGATCTGGCTTGGAAGGTTTGATATTTGCTTCTCTTTTATTTATTTATGTATTTTTTGTTTTTTAATGTAAAACAGATTTTTATGAATTGATCCGATCCACTAATTTTGTGTTCTATTGTCTCTTTCTCCTCCCTTCCCTTCTCTCTCAAGCCAAAAATAGGGGCTGTTAGCATTTGTTTTGGAGATATCATTTGGGACATCAAAAGGACACGACTTCAGATAATCGAAGGAGTTTTCAGCAGATCTCGCTTGGAAGGTTTGATTTTAGATTATTGTATAGTTTTTTTTTTTTGATGAAAGAACAAATTGTATTTAACTGGAAAAACTTTTCTTGAAGACGAGAATCTGGGATGTTACACTTTTTTTTTATTGTTTCGTGTTGTTCTGCCCAAGTATTCCTAAGAAGGATAATCCAGTCCTCTCCTCTGATTTTTTTTTTTAATGTTTTTGAATGAAACAAGGCGTGAAAAAATCCAAGCCGAATTTCGTTTTTTCAATACCCCCAATGCTACAAGGACTTCTGATTTTCTGCCTAAGTCAAACTTTCTTCTTTTGTTGCTATTTTTTTGTATAGGGTACTAGTGGATGTGGTGTTCTGTACTTCCTTTCTTACTACCATTTGATTTGTGTGGCCATTTGTTTATAAAAGGGAAAACATTTTTTTAGCATGCAATTATGGAATTTATCACATCCTTAATATCCACAATCTTCGTGCACTAAGTGTAGTTTCTTTCTTAGTAAGAGAGATTCTATTGACCTTCCAAAAAAAAGAAAGAGATTCTAAGGAAAAATATGAGTAGTAGGAAACATAGTTTTAAAAAAACAGGCTGGACATAAACCCGGGAAAGAGACTGGGTTAATGGGTGTTCAACTTTTGGGTTATTGGTTGGACTGGTAATATATTAAAAAATAAAACTAAAAAAATCAAATAAAGAGTCTAAGTCATTCATAATAGAACATGAATTTTACAACCAAAATTCATGTTATATTATGTCATTTATTAAAATAAAATAAAAAAAAATCTATTTTTTTTCTTAAAAGTCATAATTAAAATGCAATTATACTATCTGTATTAAAATAAAATTATAAAATCAAATAAGGGGTTAAACTATAATAAACACAATATCTTCTACCATAATTGGGATAATTTGGTAGTTTAATTTAATCGTTTAAACAATTAAATTAAATTTCAATAGATAGTATAATTATATACTAATTATGATTTTTTAAGAGAAAATTAAATTTTTATTTTTGATTTTATTTCAATAAATCTCATAATTAAATATGAATTTTGATTGTAAAATTTAAAAATATTTGATATTCTATCTTTAATTGTAGTATTTTTTTTTATCTAAATATAATATTTTAATTATTAAAATTCTAAATATTATATTCTTATAAATTTAAAAGGGTCTGAGTATAATTTATTGACGGATATAATAATTGACATTCATAGAGGGATCTAAGTGTTATAAAGGTATAATTTTTGGAGGATATATATATATATACACGCTCTGCCCTAATTTACTCGGCTCTTCTTCCTCACTCAGCCGCCCACCTCTTCCTCTATCTCTCTTTCGGCGACTGCCTTTGCCCAGCGAAACTTCACCGACAACTCTTCTTCCTCACCAGCGACCAGACTACCCTGAGGTAAATTCCAATGCTCATCTTTATTTATTTTTTAGATTTGGATGGCGTAGTTTTGAAGTTGCAATTTCCCACTCTAGTGCCTTTGTTAATTTAGCTTGTGTCTTGAAATTGAAATTGTTGATTCTGATTGTAAAGTGAGGAATACATGTAGAATGAGAATTTATTCTTTCGGACCTGATGTAAAAAGATCTCATTCACAGTGCATAACTGGTAGGCGTAGAATAGGGTCGTGTTTCCCTTAAGACTATTCACTATACTTGCTCAGTCTCCTCTTATAGCTATTGTGCACACCAACTTCATAATCATTCGTCATGGCATGACAGATCCAGTATTTTTCCAGTAACAAAGGGAATTTACAACATAGCATCAAACCCAGAGGCTCATAATCAATCATTCAGCTTTCTTTTCTTTTTTTTTACTTTGGGAGAGGAATTATAGAATATTAAGAAACGAATCTAGAGATACAAACTCATTGTTCTGCACAATTAGTAATGTAGTTCGCAATAGATTACTAATTATAACAATTAGGGGCAGCTCTCAAAATGCTAGAGTTTTTCACAGTTGGCACCTTCCAGCCCCTCGAGCTTGATCTAGATCTTGCTTTGTGTTGTAAAGCTGCCTCTTCTTTGTAATGCTGGCTTTTAGTTGCAACCTCCATTGATGTATTGGTTGGGGTATGCTTGCTAAATGTAGACTTTTGCACTCGATTCGACAAGAATGGATCCTTATGTGTTCTCAATATTTCCTTCACAGTCCTCAGCCGAAAGTAGGTCATATACAAGTTTCATGAAGCAATGCAACGTATTGGGGGGCCTCCAATTAGAACTGAAACTGGAAAACCTCCAATTATAGAGTTGGAGTCCTAGTGAAATCAAAGGGACTAAAGAAAATGACAGCCATCAGTAATGATATAAGATCACTTCTAGCAATGACATACCCTTATAAATATCAAAGATCTCCCAAACCCTAACATTTTGCCTCTTTGTCGACCCCCTGCTTCCCCCCCCCCCCCGCGCTCTCTCTCTCCCTCATGTCACAGCCCAATAACGCCAAAAGCAGCAGCTCCAGTCTTCGTTTTCGTCGTTGAAGGTCTCTCCATCAAGGTAGACTAATCAGTCTTCGTTTTCGTGTGCTTTTTTTTTTCCACTTGCTCAGTTCTATGGTTATGAATCCGATCAGAAGTAGTTTTCCTGATTTATGGTGTGGGATCTTGCAAGGAGCGGTGCCCAGCAGTTTATATACACATATTTAGTCTTATTTTTAACCGACGTGGGATCGTAATAGCATATATGTGTTTTGTGTTCACTTTTGTATGTAAAATTGATTTAAGAATTTCAATGGGCGGTTTCTAGTGAATAAAATAATCATTTTCAAAATTGTTGAATTGAAGTATTTGACGGTCAATTGTTTTTGTGTTGTTTATATTCTTATATGTAACATAAATGAAGGTGTATATGTCTGAAGGTGAAGTCCTTATCTTTATCCGTTGTAAAACTGTTTGATGATTTCTTGTGTGGTCAATTTTTTCTTGGAATCTTGTAATATTATCAGGTGGGGATATATATTGATATTTGGTGAAAAAGTTAGAAAATGGACAGAATGTGAGGGAGAAGCCTCTTTTTTATCTCCCTTTGTATGCCATATGCAGTGCAAAACTAGGACTTTGGTCCATTATCTGAACTTGGGGCTTCCGAGGAAGCCCACCTTGACACGGTCTGTTGTGGAGCTCCTTGTTGTTGAATGAAAAGGAAAATGGAACTGTATGTTTTCTGTTTGTGTATACATATGTGTGAGACCCTGACAATTTTGTCCTGTCCTTGAATAATGTGAATGCCAAAGTCCCAATCGCTGAGATTTTGTTAGTTTTGCTGAAGATGTACGAGTCCTTTATTGTTCTTTCTTTTACTTTTACAAATTGACACTTCAGATATTGAGTGACAAGGGTAGAACTGCTCTTGGGTCGAGAAAGTCATTTTTGCTCATTTTCAGTTAAAAAGTTAGCCTTTACCAATTGTTTTTTTTTATTTTTTTACAAATATTATGATTTGTTTTAGATGGTCTTATTCTTTTTTTCGGTGAACAGGTAAACAGCAATGGCTCAAGAAGCAGGTATGTTCACGGTTCAGCAAACCATTGGCAGTGTTTTGTGCTGCAAATGTGGTGTTCCGATGGCACCAAATGCTGCCAATATGTGTGTGAAATGTCTGCGTTCTGAAATTGATATCACAGAAGCTTTGCAGAAGCATGTTATCATCATTCACTGCCCCGAATGTGATACCTATTTGCAGCCACCAAGAACTTGGATCAAAGCCAAACTAGAATCAAAGGAGCTGTTGACATTTTGTGTGAAGAGATTGAAGAATTTGAATAAAATCCATTTAGTACATGCGGAATTTATATGGACCGAACCTCACTCAAAGAGGATCAAAGTTAGGCTGAGAGTTCAAAAGGAGGTGCTTAATGGGGCAATACTAGAACAAGCTTATACTGTTGAGTATGTAGTGCAAGACCAAATGTGTGAATCTTGTACTAGGGTTCAAGCCAACCCTGACCAATGGGTGGCTGCAGTGCAACTACGTCAGCACGTTTCTCACCGGCGAACTTTCTTCTATTTAGAACAACTTATTCTTAAGCATGATGCCGCTGTCCGTGCCATAAGAATCAAGCAGATGGATCAGGGAGTTGATTTCTTTTTTGCTAATCGGAGTCATGCTGTGAAGTTTGTAGAGTTCCTGGGTAAAGTTGCTCCAATTAAGAGTCGTCATGACAAACAACTTGTATCGCATGATACCAAGAGCAATAATTACAATTATAAGTACACCTTTTCTGTTGAAATCTGCCCAATTTGTCGTGAGGATCTGATTTGTCTACCTCCAAAGGTTGCAGTTAGTTTGGGAAATCTTGGTCCACTTGTGATCTGCACGAAGGTGAGTAACACCATTGCTTTGCTGGACATTTTTACTCTGAGACACTGTTTCATGGATGCTGACCAATATTGGAGGACAGCTTTTAAGTCCCTGCTTTCGAGTAGGCAGATTATGGAATATATCGTGTTAGATGTGGAGCCTGTTTCTTCTGAAATAAATGTTGGTGGTTCAAAGTATGTTTTAGCCGATGCCCAAGTAGCTCGTGTAGCAGATTTTGGGAAGAATGATACACTGTTTACCGTAAGAACACATTTAGGTCATATTTTAAATCCTGGGGATTATGCTATTGGTTATGACTTATATAGGGCTAACAGCAATGATATTGAATTGGACAAGTACAAAGGTCTTGTTATTCCAGATGTGATTCTAATAAAGAAGAGCTATGAAGAGAAGCGCCAGAAGAAGCGGGGGAAACCGCGTGCATGGAAGCTTAAATCTCTTAACATGGAAGTCGAGGACTCTGCTAAAGCTACTGATGAAGAGAAGAGGAGCTCAGAATACGAACAGTTCTTGAGAGACTTGGAGGAGAACCCTGACATGAGGTTCAATATATCCTTGTACCAGAATAAAGAATACCAACCATCAGAAATGGCCTCCATGACTGACGAGGAGGATGTTCCTTCGATACCTTTAGAGGAGTTGCTTGCAGATCTTGATCTAAGTGAGGAGGAAGCTCAGAATGATAGCATGAACGAGTAAATTGACGTGGTATATTTTTTTTTTCTGTTCATTGTGGGGGAAGTATTGTCAAATCAATAGTTTAGATGTTTCAATATGATTACTAGTTCCTTGTTTTCTCTGTTATAGAAGTTTGATAGAAATTTGATGGAAAGTTGTGTTACTCTACTAGCTCCTCCAACTATGCGATTGTCTTTTTGTTTGTCTCAAAATCTAGCGGCGTGAGGATATTTTTTGTTAAAATTGTAACAAGCATTTGATTCTGGGACAATGTGGGGAACTCAATAGTGGAGGAGTGCTGTGAGATTGGGGTTGTAGTTTAAGGATGTAGGATGGGTCTGTTTTTCCACCTAACTGATCTAAGGACTTTTTCCCTTTTTATTCTGATTCATTAAAAGGGTGCTGCATAGCATATGGTAATGGTGTTTGGTAAGGCAGCATAGTTTTTAGTGTATGTCATGGCAGCTGTGTCTGCTCAGGATGTGGTCTCATAGTTTTCTAGACAGGGAGAGTAATTTCATAAGACCTGAAGCCAATATCGATTGATCTCTGTAAACCTGGTAGATGAGGGAGAAATTTACCAATAACATCCTATCCTGCAGCACCTCATTACACTGGGACAAAGAACAAACAACTGCGACCTTCTACTACTCTTTCCTTTCAAACGAATCCATGGACTTGGCAATCTCAGGCTCTAATGGATCGCTTCATCTGGAGGACTTCATAATTCCTTTCAAAGAGACTTCTGCTTCATTAGAGTTCACATCTGGTGCCAAGTTTTTGGATCTCCACATTGGTTGGAATGTAAAACCCAAGAAAGTTATAAGTAAATTCTGAGCTTCCACAAGAGGCTATGATGGTTCAGGACTTTGTGGAACTGGTGAAGAGCATTAAACATTCGGGCTGCAAACCAGATGGCAAATGGCCTGAGATTAGCAGAGTGACTCAATTGGTAATGGATGCTGTAAATAATTCTATAGATCTTGGTTTTAAACCTGTTAGTATGTAATTATCTGGTCATTATTGGCTTTCAGTAATCATAAAGAGAATTTATGACATGGTGAGAAATTTACGAATAGTGGGCATTAACAACAATTCAACGAGTGTAATTACCCGTTTCTCTCTCTCTCTCTACCTAGTATCACTGGGGAAAGAACCCATATGATTTTGGTGTACTTAGTACCTGCAGTTATATTGACTCGTTGTTAAGCATTGATCACTATGGATCCGGGAAGAAGCCTTTCTAGGATAAGGTTTCTTGTTAAAGAAATGCATAGAGAAGGAAATGAAGCCCGTGAATAACATGAAATGATAAATCAACGTTGGTGGTTGATAATAGTTATTAGTTTCTTGTTGGTACATTTGACACATTGCAAGTGATTCTTGATAGGATAAGGTCAGAGTCTTTACTCGGTTTCTGTTGTTAGCTCCTCAAAACCCTTCCATTCCAAATCCTTAGAATATGGCCAAAGACTCTCCCTCCAACTCCTCCAATCAAGAGATAAAGCTCACCACAACCTCCTAAGCAATGCTATTCGAATTTAGAGGATGTATTTTTTTATTTTTTTTTAATATTGGATTAATAGTGGGGTTTGACATTTATAAGTCCATTATTTATTTCATTGGCACTTGGGTCTGAAATTTGGTGCAAGTGCGTTGTTGTCAACGACCAAACATTGGGATCCAAGCTCATGACTGATAGAATCCGAGGATACATTCTACTCCATTTGTGACTAAGCCGATGAGGCTCTTTGGCACTCAAGGCAATCCGTTTGTTTGGGTATTGGGGAGATGTATTTATGATGTTTGAAAATATGCCACAAAGAGATGTTTGTTTATTGGAACTCATTGATTGCCGGGTTTGTTCGAAAAGATAGTCTTTGAGGCTTTTAAAACTTTTACGAGGATGCAAAAAGTGGGTATGGGGTTTAGCTGGGTGGCCAGAGGATGAAATTGATTGCAAAACGTGTGTTCTACTGCATTCTTTGGTAGAATGGGAGTTGCGTTCTGGTTGAATGCTACTTGAGATCACCATGCTTGTTCATTGGATATATAAGGTAGAGCTGGGAGAATCGGGAAAGCACTACAGTTATTGAAAAGCTGGTGGGGTTTATTACTCTTCGTACCACCTTTGCTGCAATGTTTCTCTTGCAGAGGTCATTGCAAAATGGTTGCTTGAGCTCGAACCTAACAATCCAAGTAATTATGTGATGGCAGACGTTTTTGTAAATGCAGCGATATGGAAGGATCTAAAGATGATGAGAGAGATAAAAGGGGAAGGAGGGCACCGCAAATAACTTGCTATTTTGTCTATCAAGTTAATAAATTTTTGGCATTTCGCCACCCAAGTCTTCCATGCGAAAAGCTTTATGTTTCAACTTGGGTGCACTTTATAGTGTACGCTAGTAGGCTTGCAAATGAATGAAATTTTGACCTGAATTTTCACCAATTATTTTAAGTTGAATATATGGAACTATACTTCACATATTCGTATTTTGATATACCAACATTTGAGATAATCATAATTGAATCGGATTCAAATTCTATTAGTGGAATATGTCTTCATATTTATTGAACAATGTTTGAAAAGTTTTGACATGTACAGATGCTTAGTTGCCGGTAAGTATTTTGTAAAGTTTGGTGAAATGGAAATTGGTACATGGTGCATAATGTACTGTATGATAATTATTTTTTATGTATTTTTTTTTTAACTTTTTTAAAGTGGTGTGTCTTTTTTTAATTTTTTAGTTTCATTTTGTTTTTTTAAGGAGTATTTGTCTTTTTTCTTCCTAATTTAATCAGTTACAAAATACAATAGCAAAAAAAAAAAATCAGTAATAACATATTTATAGATATATTGTTTGTATCTAAGATTTTATTTTTTTGGATTTTCTATTCATTTTGTTTTTTCTTGAAAAAATCAAAGAAGACGTAAGAAATATTCTAAAAATTCATTTTCATGATGGATACCGCGAGAAAGGTGATTTGGTGCTTAATAATTTATCCTAGTTATTGGTAATAGTTAAACCAGTGGTTCATTTTTTTAACTATATTTTTTCACTCATCTTAATGGTTAGAAGTGAGGTGTAATGGAGTAACATGATTGAAGAGCATGAGAAGCTCGCATTTAGTGCTCTTAATCAAACTAAGCAATTTGAGTTTGATTCGGGTTTAGTTTGTTTTTGATTCGTTCAAATTCGACTCGTGTTTTAAATGAATCAAATTTGAATAATTTTGTAGATTCGCCTCAAACCCGACAAACTCGACTCGTTTGTGTATAAATATTCAGGCTTACCTAGGTTTGGCTCATTTTGGGCTCGTTCTTTGAATGAGACAAATTTAAACAATTTTTTAGATTCATTTAAGAAAACAAGTTTTTCAGACTCAGCTCAAACTCGTTCAAGATCATTCAACTATCAGCCTTACTCGTAATTTCGTTCAAACAAAATTCAATATGTCATAATCATAATAAATTTTTTTTAATAATTTGGGTGCCAGCAAGATTCGAATACAGGATTTTCTGCTTTACTATTATGTTAAACAACGATGTACTCTAAAAACTTAAACTATTAAAAATGATGTAATTTAAATATTTATACTTCTAACAGATACATTTTTACAAAAAATCCATATGCATTTTATTTGAGAAGTCATGACTTTGCCAAGGGGCAGATGAAAAAGATATATGTATATATAAACCAAACTACCTCAAAGGTTAATAGGGCCAAAAGTGTTGGATAGGCAAATCTACATATTTCTTGTTTGAAAAATGTTACATAATCCAAATAAAATCAAAAAGTTAAAATTCAAATACATATCATCCCTCAAATGAATGTGGGATGAGTGAACCCCACTGAACAAATTAATGTAATACTCCTTTCCCAAGGGATGATATGCATTTGGGTTGAAACTTTTTGAGTTTAAGTGAGATACTCCTTTCCCATTCAAGATTCTACACGTAAGCATAATTAGAAACATGTTTTGGAATTATCAACCTACTATACTTGTGGGTGTGGTGTGGAATAGGATTGGAAGGTCAAATTAGGGAATTAAGGTTAATCCTTACCAGATTCAACTTGGACAATCGTCTCATATATATCTATGGAACAAAAACTTCTTATTTATCTACCCAACTGTGAAATAAAGAGAAATCAAAACAAAAACAAAGTTATCAAAATCTGTTTTCGATTCCACGACTACGGAACCAACTTGTTCAAAGGTTTGATTATCAAACTTGGCTAAGTTTTTATTCTCTATTTTTGTATCTTCTAGGCATTTTTGCCGAGTTTTTGAACTTGAATTCTCGTTTTTTGCTACTGATTTCCTTGTTTTATCAAGTTTTAATTTTTTTTTTTTGGGTTTAACCGTTGGCGGTGTCTAAACTAACTTGAACACATCTCGATTAACTCTCTCCCTAATCCGATCAAAAACAAGATATTTACGTCAGGACTAGAGTATTCATGAGAAATAAATACCTCAAGCTCTGACCCTAAGTCTTTAATTTTTTAGATATGTTACTTGGACCTAATTTGTTGACTTAATTTATTATCCTAAACATTCATAATAATTAGATTGACAACTGCCTAGTATTTGTTACAATTTGCTATCAATTTAATAATCTTGATGAATTAAGTCGATAAATTATGTTAATAAATTATGTTCAAATAATATTATTGTTATTTTTTTCCTTTTTGATTGGTGAATAGCTTTCGTCTTTCGATTTAAGAACCGACAAGATTTTCTTTTAGGCAAACTAGTTGATGCCCACATGCGTTGCACGTGGATCATTTTAATGATGAAATATTGTATACTAATTTTTCCTAACCAAATTGCCAACATACACAAGTGAAGGTGAGCATGAGTTTTGGCATTCATTTCAGTCAAGGACTATGTCCATTTTGTGAATGTAATAAACAGAAAGTAAAAGATTCGTAATGGACAACACAGGGGGAGTTATCAGACAACACATCGTCAAACTCAAGGTTTTTAAAACACATATGAATGATTACAATAACTTTTAATATATGTTGTCCCAACTCTCAGGCTCTTCTTTCTGCTTCTTCCTCTCTCTTTGTGACTGCTGCATCAATAGTTTATACAAGATAAGATCATTAGAAGCTTTAAATGATAGAGAAAAATATTTGGTGCATTTATCTATTTCAAGCTAAAGAGAAAAAAAGATAAGAAAGGCTGCGGAAATGAAAACAACAAAGTCAAATATTAAAAAGGCCGCAACTTCGCTTCCA